AGCTTCCAAGAAAATTCTATTACAGTGAACCACATTATTTTAATGGATTTCTTCGCCAGTTAGTCGTCTGTCACTTCGTTTGTGCCAAAAGTACGCATCCTACACGGCGAATGAGAACGACTCAAATTTGAGTTTAGTTCACTCATAATCGCCAAAAGTGCAGGAACTCAGCGATGAGTTAATTTGCCTCATGTTTTCCCAGGTTTTTCCAGGATTTTCCAGGGAAAAATTCCCGAATTTGAGAAAAGTAAAGATTGGATTCACTCAGTCTATTGGCACTACTCCGAGACTGAATAAAATTTTCGTCAATTTCCTCATTTTCCGGCAGATTTTTTAGGTTTTCCACAGGAAACCATGAGACAAATTTAACTCATCGCTGCGTTCCTGCACTTTTGGCGATTATGAGTGAACTAAACTCAAATTTGAGTCGTTCTCATTCGCCGTGTAGCAATATCGGAAATAATATAGTCGCTATATTCATAGTCTGGCGGATAGAATTTCGATCTATCAAAAAGCGGAACCAATTCAATATATTTTAGACCAACAGTTGAAAAGGTACTATCAACTTTTATAAACAAAACGTTGAATATTCTTTCCTCGCCAATCGAACACAAATTACCGGCATCATCGGATAGAGAAAACTTTCCTCAACCCAGAGATGGTGTTAGTTTGCGTAGGCGAGCCTTGAGTCACGAGAAAAGGGTTTCCGAAGTTTTGTTTGCAATATCTGATGAGCTCTTTTCTGTTGTTGGTCGTGATTTGCTCGATTGGTTCCGCTATTTGACAGCTCAATTGGTTCCCGAGATTCTATTCGCCAGACTATGAATATAGCGACTATAGGAAATAATGGTTATATTTTGGTTGAGCGCCCGGCGTTGTCATTCGAACCCTTTCTTGCTGCGCGAACAACCTTGGCCCACCCGGGAAGGGTGGAAGAGGACGAGGGAGCGCTGCAGTTCTAGTGACGAGTGACAAACATATGGGTCGTGTAAAGTTGCATAATTGCATTCTTGCCCGAGCGATGGCTCGGTGCCTGGAGTGGATAATTTATTAGCATGGTTCATATTGATTGGGGTTTTGTTAGTTATGTGAGAATGGTATACTATTGGGACAACCGGATGTTTCGGATAAAGACAAAATAACTCGCTAGTTATAACACACGCGTCTTTATTGCTCGAAGTTTTTATACAGAGTGTAAAAAGGAAAATGGCTGCCGAAAGAGGCACGAAAAAGAGATGGATTAAGGAGAGATGCGTACTACACTGTTAAACGGTATAACATAAATTATTCCATAATACCCCTCCTTAATTTATGGAATCTCGTAGAGCCAGTCTCGCCACCGCAGTTAAGAGCCAAGGAGGGACGAAGCAGGTCGAACCGAAGGAGCGTTCGCCTGGGTAGTGCACTGCGGTGACTACCGGGACCATCTACGGCGAGTAGTTGGTCCGGTGATTCGTCACCATCGTCGCCGAGAGGGTTCCGATAAAGGAGCCTTGCTCATCCCCCCCGCTAAACGCTAAGGACCGCTGCTACGCAGCTAAAAAAAGGAGAAAACGCTCGGCACAGACCGTGTCTGGAGCCAACGTAAAGCAGTACGATCTGCAACCGCCACCGCTATCGTCGAAGGGCCCCACCGAGTGACACCGAGGATAACGAGGAGAAAAGGGAAAGGTTAGAGGATAATAGACGTCTTAAATTGTACTTTTCTTTCTCTTTTCTTAACAATCCATCCAAATCCGAACGTCTTTGGGGGAAGTACTCTGCTCGTAGCCGCCCCGCCGGGGTAAATCGGGCCAGCTATAGGCTGGCAAGTAAGCCGCAACTTACAATTGGCGCCCAACGTTAACATACACAAGGAAAAAATATTCTTAAGGAATATTTTTTCTTCCGAGCGTGGGGTACTTCCACCAAAGTTTGGATTTTGGGTGGAATAAACAGTGGTGAGGCTTTTTCCACAATAGGCGCGGTTCGTTTAATATTATTTGTTGTGTTTGTCTTATTCCTAATCGGTGAATCGCTTCATTTCATCGTCTGCAGAACGAGTTGTCGTCATCTCGGAGCACTTTGTTCTCAGAGCGGGGCTTTCAAATCCTCTGAGCCGATTTGGGTTGACATTCGCAACATTTGGTGACCTAAAATCATAGGGAATCGTCAGTAAATGAAAAAGGGTCCTTACCGTATTCATACTCCACTCCACAGTTGGCAGGTTTTAATTTATCTCCATATTTTGAATTTGTGATCCACTCATTTTTGAACATGGCGCGCAGACCGTTGACGTTGACGGAGTTCAATGAGGCGTATCTGCATCTACGCGTTGATCATTTGCATCCCGACGAGGTTGACTTTGAATTAAACTCCCGTGGTGTTGTCATCCTTCCTGAGTCGGATAAATCGGGATCACAAAGACGTCGTCGTTTGAGGGGATTGCTGAACAGCGAGATAGTGCAAGCTACGAATGCTGTTCGGTCGTTCAAAGGGGATGCTCAATTCGAATTCGGGACGTGTCGTGGGAAGTTTGAGTCCATGAGGGAAGATTTACAGTATAGGTGTCCAAATAAGGAGATATTTCGGAGCAGGTTACTTCATTTGGGAGTCCGGCTCCAACTCTTGGAAAAATATGTCGTAGGGGAGGAGTTTTCGGTCACTAGGAAATGTTTGCAGGAAGTGATCACTTTATGGGACTATCACTTCGGAGACAGTCCTGCCCCTACTCCGCCGACCAATGAGGAAGAAGAAGACGAAATTGGCGATGATGATTTGGTGGATCAAAATCCTGATCCGGAAATCACACCACAGAACCAAGATGGACAACAAGTTGTTGAAAATCCAAGTGACAAAACCGTAGGAGAAGAACTTTTGAATGTCTTACGTGATATAAGGGCGGAGATTAGAAGCGTACAGGACCAAATCTCACTGAATGAGTCTCGTAGCGATATACGAGTAAGCTCTCTCCAACGTGCGGTCAAGAGCCTGAGCAGCGAGATAACTGTTATTACAAAGATTGCTGCTGATCTAAAGAAAACGAATCAGGAAGTTGAAGAGCTTCGTGATACGGTTTCGGGATTGCAGTGTATCATAAACCAAATTCTTCCACACGTTGTTGTTCAAGATCCGCCGCCCAGAAGGGATGATCTTGGATTGGAGGAAATTCCAGAACATCCGGAACTGCATGATGTCCGACAACCAACGGTAGAATCAGACAATCTAGTTGATTTGTTAAGGCAATATTCGATGCCTACAAATAAAGCAAACATTCAGAACATAGGGGATTCTGGTTTGTGGAACAGTTCAAAAAAATTCATCCAACCTGGTTATCATTCTAAGAATCACTTCAAACAACCTACACTCCCGAACTACACTTACCCAAATCAAGGGAGAAGTGTAGGATCGGTTGAGCCGCCCGCGTACTATCGTCGACCACAACGGGTGGCCGACTGGAAGATTCATAAATACGCTGGGAATGATGAAGGGACTGGACTGAATGAGTTTTTAGAAACTGTTCACCACTATGCGGAATCAGAGCAGATTTTGGAGGAGGAACTTTTTAATTCAGCGATGCACTTGTTCATCGGGAATGCTCTGGCGTGGTATAAGGCTATGCAGTCGCAAAAGCGACTCTTCAATTGGAATCATCTTGTATGCGAGTTAAAGGCGAATTTCGTTCACCCGGAACTCGACGCCACGCTGAAGATGAAAGCGTCTCAGCGTCGCCAACAACGGAACGAATCCTTCCAGCAGTTTTACCTGGAAATGGAGTCAATTTTCCGAGCCATGACCACGCCACTATCCCCGAGCGAGAAGCTTGAGCTTCTCAAGCGTAACCTTAGGCCTGATTATAAACAAGTACTTATTTCCAAACCGGTGAACACGCTTGCTGAGTTACTTGGTCTCGGTAAAACAATAGATTCTTCTAGGACTCCAATCTACCACAAAGTATTTGGAAGTCCAAAGGAAGTTGCTGTAGTTTCCGAAAGACCTGCATATGGTAATTCGAAACCGAACCAATCCCAGCACGGTGGAAACGGAAAAGCTGCTAAATCAAAAACATTTTACAACAAGAGTGCCTCTGGAGCCTCACAGCAGAATAATAAACCGTCTTCCATTCAATCCAAAGATATAAGTGGACAGACGAATAAAAATCTCCCTGAGAAAGCATACCAGAATTCCAAATCCACACAGTCACAGAAAACCGTCATTTGTTTAGATTTCTTGGTGGATCAACATCGTCCACCAAACCTCGGGGTTTGTTATAATTGCGGAACTAAAGGACACGAACACGAAGAGTGTTCCAAACCCAAACGTGTGTTCTGTGTACTGTGTGGATTCAAGGGATTCGAGGCTTCTCGGTGCCCCTACTGCCTAAAAAACGGGATCCGGTCCAATTGAAGCCGCAATTGGAACCTGAACAGCGCACCATCGAACAACTAGCCATACCTCCGGAGGTCTTTGAACATTTTCGACCGTCCTGCGAAGAAGACTACAACGACCACTTGTCAGTACAAACCATTATTTTCAATCATCCTTTGGACAATCGACCATTCGTGTTAGTTGAAATCCATGGATACGAGTTCGCCGCTTTGCTCGACAGTGGCAGCAATGCCACAGTTATGAGTATGCGACAATTTCAGAGAATTTCTCCTAGTCTTTTGAAGGATTTAGACCAACCGTGTAAACTGCGCTCGGCCAATGGTCAAATCATGCCAGTTCAAGGGCAGTGTTATTTCCCTTTTACCTTCAAAGGCAAGACAAAGGTCGTCTGTACTCTAGTGGTCGAAAATTTAAGTGTGGACTGTCTGTTGGGAATGGACTTTTGGCGAGCCTTCGGAATTACTCCGGAATTACATGATTGTGCTCTGGTAAATCCCTGTGTTGATCAGGTTATGGATGATGAAGTGCACTCGGATGAGTCGACACTTACGCCAGAGCAGGCGGAACGGATAGAAGAAGTAAAGTCCCTCTTTCAGGGCGTTACACCGGGCAGATTGAATACCACTACATTAACCGAGCACAAGATTGTAATAAAGGAAGAATTCCAAGGTAAGGATCCAGTAATTCGGTATCCTTATAAAATGAGTCCACATAAACTAGCGAAGGTATGGAGTGAGGTAGACAGATGGCGTTCGATGGGAATCATAGAAGAGTCGGATTCAGATTGGTCACTGAATATAGTCGCCGTAACAAAACCTGATGACTCTATTCGCCTTTGCTTAGACGCCAGGCCTCTCAACGAGCGTACAGTACGTGATGCATATCCGCTCCCGCATCCAGGTCGTATACTGGGCAGTCTGCCAAAAGCCAGGTTCCTATCAACTATTGATTTAAAGGAGGCTTTCCTCCAGGTCCCATTAGCTAAGGACTGTCGGAAGTATACGGCCTTCAGTGTATCTGGTCGAGGTATGTTCCAGTTTACCCGACTGCCATTCGGGCTAGTAAATAGTCCAGCAACCCTAGCCAGGTTAATGGACCAAGTGCTAGGTCGTGGTAAGCTGGAGCCCTTCGTCTTCGTTTATCTCGATGACATAATCATCGTCAGCGAAACCTTCGAGCACCACGTACAGTTGCTGAAAGAGGTGGCCGACTGTCTAAGCAAAGCCAACCTAACCATTAATTTGGAAAAATCCCGTTTTGGAGTTCCGCAGCTAAAATTTCTTGGATATTTCCTATCTCGCGACGGGATGAAAGTCAATCCCGAGAAAATTCAACCCATCCTCGACTACGAGAGAACGATCACAATCACGAAGTTGCGTCGGTTCTTAGGGATGTGCGGATACTATCGCCGCTTTATCGATCGGTACAGTGAGGTGACAGCGCCTCTAACCGATCTACTCAAAACCAAATCCAAGACAATTAGCTGGAACTCCGAGGCAGAAAAAGCGTTTCTTGAAATCAAGGAAATGTTGGTCACTCCTCCAATTTTGGTATAACCGGATTTTTCTAAAGAATTCATCCTTCAAACTGATGCTAGCGACACCGCAGTAGCAGCCGTGCTCGCGCAAAGGCATCCCGATGGTGAGAAAGTAGTAGCTTATTTTTCACATAAGTTAACAACGCCTCAACGCAACTACCATGCAACCGAAAAGGAAGGGCTTGCGGTAGTGTTGGCGGTTGAAAACTTTCGAGGGTATTTGGAAGGTTACCACTTTCGACTAATCACAGATAACTCAGCGATTACTTGGATAATGCAAACCAAATGGAAGACTGGTTCACGCCTGAGCCGCTGGAGCTTGGAGCTCCAACTCTACGATATGACCATACAACATCGTAAGGGGAAAGACAATGTTGTACCAGACGCATTGTCCCGTGCCGTGGCTGAAATCTCGGCAGTGACCAAGTCTGATTGGTATTGCGATCTAAAATCCAAAGTAATTGATAATCCTGAAGATTATTGTGACTTTAAGGTCGAAAATGGGCAACTGTACAAGTACGTCAAGACCGACGAAGTTCCGTGCGACTCGCGGTTCAGTTGGAAACTGATTCCCGCACCGGAGTGCCGCCACGAAATAATCGAGAAGACGCATGAAAACCTTCTCCACGTGGGGTTTGATAAAACCCTTCACGAGATCAAGCTTAGATATTTTTGGCCAAGTATGGCATCTCAAATTAGAACATTCCTACAACAATGCGGAACGTGCAAGGAGATTAAAGCTCCTTTCGTGCCGGTCCAGCCTGAACTAGGTCAGGCCCGGATTACAAACTCACCATGGAGGATGATTTCAGTGGACTATATCGGTCCTCTACCCAGAAGCAGACGCGGGTACCAACACTTGCTTGTCGTGCTCGACGTGTACAGCAAGTATGTGATGTTGGTCCCTGTACGAAAAATCCAGAGTAGCTCCCTTTGCACCATTCTACGGGAGCAGTGGTTTAATCGTCACGGAAGTCCAGAGGTTCTCCTGAGCGATAACGCTTCCACCTTCGTATCGAAGGAGTTCGGCCAATTCCTAAAAGAAAATGGAGTTACACATTGGTTAAATACTAAATATCATTCTCAGGCGAACCCGGTTGAACGAGTGAACCGTTCAATCAACACCGCTATCCGTGCCTACGCTCGCACCGATCAACGTAGCTGGGACGTCCATGTGTCGGACGTTGAGAAGGTTCTCAATACCACTATTCACTCCTCTACCGGGTTCAGTCCTTTTTTCGTAGTCCACGGGAATGAAATGGCCTCGGGAGAAGATTTCAGGAAAACCTCAGGCGATTTGGAGGATGATCTGAAAGTAAGACACCAAAGATTAGCAAAAATTCGGGAGATTGTGGAGAAAAATCTTAAAAAAGCTAGCGACACCGTCCGTCATCAATATAATTTGCGTCACCGCAAATTTGCCAAACCGTTCGAAGTAGGACAACTTGTATATCGTCGCAATACGAAACAATCGGACGCAGTCGCTAACTACAATGCAAAATTAGGACCACAATACTTACCCGCAAAAATACTTCGTCGTCGGGGTCTTTCCTCCTACGAATTGGTTGACTTGGATGGGAAAAATCTTGGTTTCTGGCCAGCAAACCTCGTCAAGCCAGCGTAATCCAGTCCTTCCTACGATGTGTCGGAGCTGACCTAAAAAGCAAAAACATCAATTAGTCAAATTCACTCCTTTCAATTTTACTGCAAAATACTTACCAGAAGTGCTTTGCGACAGCCTTCCTACGACCTACTACTTCTTCTCGTCTGTTGTTTACTTCATCAGGATGCTCACTTGGGAGCTTCCGAAGGACAACATTCGAAGGGGAAGTAGTACGGATATCCTCCGCTGTTGAGTTAAATATCCGTTAGAATTTCCACGGTAGCTGCCTCAATTCACAGCAAACACCAAAATACTGCCCCGTGGAACGCAGGTTTACCAACAGGCCGATTGAAGGCCAAATAAAATAAACTTAACACTCCTCCCATCAGCGGGAGGTAATCAAACACCCCTGTGGGGTCGTCCGTGTGACTTTAAAATCACCAAAAGACCCCTCTTCCACGGGGATAATCACAATAAATCACTTCCTTCCAGCGGGGAAGGACTCAAACACACGACCGATGGTGCTTTTCATCCGGAGAAAAGCACCCTAAACCGACGAAAACGGGTAAAATCGCGGTTCGCGACGATCGCGACGTCGCAGCCGGAATGTTTTTGTTTACTTTCCGTTTTCGTCATCTCCTTTCCTCTCACGACGAGTGACGTCATCAAGGGAATTTTTCATTTTCTCTTCCTTGTGACACTTCACCGTGAGGGCGAAGTTAGCCCTTTGTTTTGGATCCACTCAGGGGTTACTTTAAGCGCGTACACGGTAATCACAACAAACTCTCTTATGACTATAAAGTACGCTCTTTCTTTGGAAAATGGGACTACCCAATAAAGGAGTATACTGTTTTTACTCTCTTTTGCGTAAATTGAATGTATGTCAGAATCTGTATACTTTTTACACCACATAGTAAACTTAAAAATGCGTAGTTTTGACACCCCGAACAAAGTATAAATGCGTAATTTATACTCCCACATGCATAGTTAAATGCATAGTTTTTACATTGAAAAAAAATTATACCTACGATAAAACAAATTTTGTATTTCAAGTTCGTTTCAAATATTGAATAAAAATGCATAAGAATTATAGCATTAATATTTATTTATTTATTTAATTAAATGGAATAAATCCTTTCTAGATTTTATTCGCATCAATCGTCAAAACACTTACACCAACCCATCGAATCAGCGGTGCTGCCAACTCCTCCTGGACTCCCAATGGCATCACGTTCGGCGGTTTTTTAACGCCTTTTCTGGACTGTTGTCCCATGATTCGGAGGCATCCACGGACATAATCTACATTTAGATGAAAATTTCATTTAATACGTAATGAATACTCGATGTCCTTTTTTATTCGGTTAAAATTTTTTATTTGGTTAACAATAAAAGTAAATGCTTTAATTACCTGCCAGTGTCGTGAATACGTTCAGTTCCAAAGTTTTGGACAATTCCTCCTTTTTCCGCTGACCCACCGCTGACACTTTTAAAGTAATAATCCGGGACCGGGAACTGAATTAAAACGCTGCTTTTCCAATGAACACTGTTTTTAAAATGGCGGCACGTCGCGGCATAAATTTTCTTTTCTCAGCGGGGACTACTTTTTACACATTTTTGTTCGTCGTTGACATACTCGGAAATGCATAAAAAGTACTCTTCATTTGTAACTAAAATCTAAACATTTTTTGACGTATAAACCGTATTCTCGAAAATGTGTAAAACATAGTCATAAAAGGAGTATTCTAGAATTACCGTGTAACGCCTCAGTGATAAAACACTGGGCGAAATCGTAACCATCATTCCTTACGCAGGGATGACAACACCCTTTTAATGTGTACAATTTTAATTTGTTTTCATTGTTTATTTTATGTGTTGGAATCAGGGCCATTCATCTGATTCTGTAAGGAATCAGATTGAAATAGACTGATATTCGCGTTTGAGGTCTTGCTCAAGTGATTCATTGGTGATTCACTTGATGCGTAAAAGACCAGCCCTTGCGTCCAGTTTGTCCAGTTGTTTTGGTATTTTAAATAGTAGGTGTGCATGAAAATAGTATGAATTTGGCCGCGAATGAGATTGTGTGAATGAATGTGTGAATGATAGTAAATATTTATGTGGGGGTTTAGTTCAGAGTGCTTGTGAGATCTGGTGGTGAACGCGTAGGCCAAATAAATGTTGAAGGATGAGTGGAACACTTTGGATGAATGTGGAATGAATTAAAACCCCAACTGCTGTAGTGAGTATGAATACCGTCAGGACACGAAAACTGGACAGTCAAAAAAAATAAGAAGACAAAAAAAAATTGACAACCGTTCCACTGCAGGTCACTTCTGACTTGCAGGGTTCTAGGAAGCCGAATGCTTCCGAATGTTAATTTGAATTGGCTCAGGGGAATTGAAAATTTCAGTTCACCCACTGTGACCCGAATGCGAGAATGGTGAGCTGGCGTATCTCGATGGCGAGACCCAGCTCTTGTCTGTAGACCGATTTGAAGTCGAAGCACCGATTTAGAGTACCGGTCGGTAAAAGTCCCTGATTGTGACATTTTTAAATAATTGTGGAAAAAGTTGTTAGGATTAGGCAGATTTTTTATTTTCATATATTAATTTTTTTATTTTCATTTTAATTCGTTTATTTATTATTGTTTCGGTGTTAGGTGTTAGGGTTAGTAAAAAAAATTGTTGCCATTTTTTTTTCTCCTCGGTGTGGGCGAGATTGTAACCCTCGTCTAGGGTGACAATTAATAACCCACCCTTTTAACATGTTTGCCATGAGCGTGTGCCTTGTCTGTTATGATTTGTTTTTGTTTTGGTCGCACGCTCGGCAACATACTCACCACTGCTTTATTTGTAAATATTTTAATTTGTTATTTTCACCGTAGATTTTATTCGTGTAGGCATGTTTTTAGAATTAGAATATAGTGTAAAAATTATCGTTTAAAATTGTCTCGCGTGTAGAATAAAGCTAGGTCCCGTTTCTCCTCCCGCTGCAAAATAAGGCGAAAAACATAAGCAGCACAACATTCGAGCGCGGTTGCAGGAGAACGATGGCGGTTGTTGTATTGTCCGTGATTGTCAAGTAGTACAGGAAGAAGAAAGTTACGAGCCACGGTAGGAAATCGACGCGTTTTTTTCCCCGTCCGTTTGAAGTGAAAACGAGAGTTGGAGTGCCGTTTTCGTGGCGTGTGTCAGCTGGAGGGATAATTCCCAGCATCGTCGCGTGAAAGTGTCGTCGTTTCCTGGAAAAGTGCCGTGGTTCGTGAGCTTAAGTGAAGGGTGTCGGATCGCCGCCAAGGGAAGCTAAATTTCAAGGATTTTTCCGCTTCCCGGCTAAACCCCAAGGATCCCCGAACAACCACCGTCCTCACTGCGGTGGCTCAGCCAGTAGAGCCAGTCTCGCCACCGCAGTTAAGAGCCAAGGAGGGACGAAGCAGGTCGAACCGAAGGAGCGTTCGCCTGGGTAGTGCACTGCGGTGACTACCGGGACCATCTACGGCGAGTAGTTGGTCCGGTGATTCGTCACCATCGTCGCCGAGGGGATTCCGATAAAGGAGCCTTGCTCATCCCCCCCGCTAAACGCCAAGGACCGCTGCTACGCAGCTAAAGTGAAGGAGAAAACGCTCGGCACAGACCGTGTCTGGAGCCAACGTAAAGCAGTACGATCTGCAACCGCCACCGCTATCGTCGAAGGGCCCCACCGAGTGACACCGAGGATAACGAGGAGAAAAGGGAAAGGTTAGAGGATAATAGACGTCTTAAATTGTACTTTTCTTTCTCTTTTCTTAACAATCCATCCAAATCCGAACGTCTTTGGGGGAAGTACTCTGCTCGTAGCCGCCCCAGCTATAGGCTGGCAAGTAAGCCGCAACTTACAAGACCAATCCGTTTTCTTGATGCATACCCTCCGGCTGAGTCATGAATATTTCCTCTGAAAGGTCACCATTCAGGAATGCCGTCCTCACGTCCATTTGATGCACTGCCATTCGCTCTTGGTTGGCAACTGCTAACATAACACGTAAGGTGTCCAATTTAGCGACTGGCAAATATGTCTCCGTGAAGTCAAACCCTTTCTTCTGGCAAAACCCTCTAGCTACTAACCTTGCTTTAAATCGATCTGGTTGTCCATCATCGCCGGGCTTGATGCGAAATATCCACTTACATGTTATCGCCTGCCGCCACTCCGGAAGTTCGCATAGGGTCCATATTCCATTTTTCTGCAGCGAATCCAACTCTTCTTGAACAGCCAACTTCCATTTCGGCCAGTCAGCTCGCGTTCTTAACTCAGCTATGGTATCCGGCAAATTATCCACGTAATCCATAGCACCAAGCGCAACTCCAGCAAAGGTCATATCATAATCTTTGTGCCATGATGGCGGCTTTCGTTCGCGGGAAGGATTCACTAGATTATCACTTGGCTCAGCTACAGGATCTTCACCAGCACTGTCATCACATGTGTCAAAATCGTCTGAGTCTTCAATTATTTCGCACTCTTCAATTTGTGCTTCTTCATTATTGTCCTCTTTCTGATAGTGTCCACTATTTTCTTCAGCGTTATCCCAAACGCTTACTTCACGCACTACTTTCATCTTCGCATTAGCATCGGACAATCTTGCATTCTCGATGACGATAATATCACGCACAGCAACGATTTGCCGCGTTTTGGGGTTCCACACGCGATACCCGTTCGCACAATATCCGACCAACACCCCTTTCCATGTCTTCTCATCAAGCTTCTTCCGGTGTTCTTTCGGGATGTGACAGTAAGCTGGTGATCCAAAAACTCGCAGCTTTGAAACGTCAGGTTTCCTGCCTTCCCAAACTTCACACGGCGTTACATTCGAATCAAGAACACTACACGGGCTTCTGTTCGTCAAAAACGTTGCAGTTTGTATCGCTTCACCCCAAAACTCACGATCAACGGCAGAATCGAATAACATCGAGCGCGCCTTCTCAACAAGGGTTCTGTTCATCCGTTCGCAGATCCCGTTCTGCTCAGGGGTATAGGGCACCGTGAATTCCATTTTTATGCCCTTACTTGCACAGAACGAACGCATTGCCTTGCAGGTGTATTCACCACCATTGTCCGACCGGAAACGCGAGATTTTCACTCCGAATTTTGCCGTTACTTGTGCCTCATAGTGTTTAAAACAACCTACTACTTCGTCCTTTGACTGGATCATGTAAACCATTGTAAAACGTGACCAATCGTCAATAAAACTCACGAAGTAGCGCATATTGTTCCACCCGACAGGCGTCACCGGCCCACAAACGTCCGAGTGAACGATTTCTAATACTCGGCACGAACGACGCTCTTCGCGCAACGTAAACGGGTTTCTTGTTTGTTTCGCGGACACACATGGCTCACATATTACTGTCGCATTATTACTACCTCTCAACGGAATACCATTCACTATTCCTCTCGTGATTAGCGACGACAGATTTCGCTCTCCCAAATGGCCATACCGTCGATGCCATAACTCGGTTGCCTTACTTATTTGTCCCGAAAAACATAACATCTCTCTATTACACTGACGCGAGAAAAAGTTCAGCTCGTATAGTTTATTTCGCCTTTCACCAGTAGCTACGACTTTCGATCCGTAAAGTATTTCCAAACGACCATTCGCGAACACTACTTTCATACCGGCAGACTCAACTTTGCTTATCGAAAACAAATTGCATCTTACCTCCGGAATAAACAACGCTCGGCTCACTGTAGACTCGACTACTTTTTGATCGACCACTGACAACACAGGCACATCCCCAACATATTTGGCTGTTACCCACTCGCCGTTCTTCGCCACGGCTATTTCCATCGGCTTCTCCAACAACGAAAGCTTCGAAAACAAGCTTTTGTCATTGCATATGTGTTCGGTAGCACCAGAGTCCACGAACCACTGCACTCGGTTCATCGGTGGCTCTCTTTTGCCTTCACCAATCAGAAACACCACACCGTTGTCGCTCGGTTCCGCGCTGAAAGCCGACGATTTCACTGTTTTCTTCTCTTTTTCTTTGTCGGGGCAGTTCGCAAGTTTATGCCCCTCTTTCTGACAACCAAAGCACTTGAAGACTTTCTTCTTTTTCAGCTTCGGGTTGCGAGCAGCCTTACCACTACCACTGAAGGCAGCCGATTCGTTCTCTCCACAAACATCACTCGCGGCGATCGACTTTCGCTTTATCTCTTCGTCGAGAAGTCTACACTTAACGAACTCCATCGTTATTTGCTCTTCGGGCTGACTCTCGATAGAAGTCACGACCGTGTCGTACTCAGTACCCAGTGACAAAAGCAAACGACACACGACGTCGATATCGTCAATTTTTCCACCAGCATTCCGAAACAAACGAATGAGCCGATCGTATTTCACAAAATAATCCTGTAACGGACCACCCGAGTGGCGTAGTTCGAATAGCTCGCGATTCAATTGCATACGTTTTGCAACACTTTTCCTCTCGAAAATTCGCACTAATGTATCCCACATCTGTTTCGCGGAGCTCTTCCCGTGAAGCAACTCTAACTGGTCATCGTGAATTCGAGACACGATGATAGATTTGCACTTTTTATCTTTCTTCTGACGTTTCACGAGAGCATTTTGCTTCTGCTGCTGCACTTGAACCGAATCCGCTTCTTCCACTTTTAACTCCTCTACGTCGTTAATTTCGACCTCGATACACTCGACCAAGTCATGTTCCTCTAACAAGGTCAGCATTCGAAATTTCCACGAGACGAAGTTGTGGCCATCAAACATGGCGACTCGGCGAATTTCGTCTTGCATGGAATCCACCATTATGCAGTACAAAAACACTTAACTTCTCGTTTCCGACACAATCAACACCTATATCACTTTCGCGACGCAACACGGAACCGGTTCTGGGCCCATAACCTATTGGGACAACCGGATGTTTCGGATAAAGACAAAATAACTCGCTAGTTATAACACACGCGTCTTTATTGCTCGAAGTTTTTATACAGAGTGTAAAAAGGAAAATGGCTGCCGAAAGAGGCACGAAAAAGAGATGGATTAAGGAGAGATGCGTACTACACTGTTAAACGGTATAACATAAATTATTCCATAATATATACTACATTAGTGCCGTTTTCCGTGGCGCTCGTCTTTCGCTTCCTCAGCTAATCCAAAACACCCGCCGTCCTCACTGCGGTGGCTCAGCCAGTAGAGCTAAGGAGGGACGAGGCAGGCCGAACCGAAGAAGTGTTCGCCTGGGTAGTTCACTGTGGCTACTACCGGGATCTTCTACGGTGAGTAATTGGTTCAGTAATTCGTCACCATCGTCGCCGGGGGGTTCAGACAAAGGAGCCTCGCTTTTACCCCCCGCTAAAAGTAAAGGACCGCTGCTAGGCAGCCCACAGTGAATAAGGAGAGGAGACTCTCGACACGACACAGACCGTGTCTGGAGACGACGTGAATCAGAACGAAAATCAACCACCGCCGCCATCGTCGCCCCGTCGGGATAAATCGGGCCAGCTATATGATGGCAGGTAAGCCGTAACTTATATGTTTTATTGACGATGTTTTATAAAGTAAGGGTCCACATAATACTCTAAATAAAATGAATTTTATTTTGTCCTACCGATGATCTAATCATTTGCAAATTTCCAAACCGCTACATTTTTTTTTCAATATGCTTCTTCTTGATAAGGGATATTTAAATTATAATGGCCCCCAAGCCAGAAAGAATTTTTATTGCACATAATTCGTATTCTGAGATAAGTTGCTACAACCGTTATTAAACTGCAAAAGCAACCTTTTCCTTGCTAGTTTTAGGTCTCTTGAAATGTTTTGGTTGGTCAACTCGTCCTAAGCTACCATGTCGTTCTTTATCGAGATCGTTTTTAAGAATCAAATGAGCTGCATGTGGATCTAATGAAAATCTCCGTTGTTGAGGAATCTCTTTCAAGCTCGTTGGAGTAATCGATGATTGTTGTCTTGGAAGGACCTTAGCCAACGGCTTAGAAGAATGATGTCCACCAGTACGGTTTTTGTCATGCTCGTGTTTTCGAATGTTGATGTCCTTCGAATGGTTGCGGGAAGTGCTAGCAGGTATTTCGTTGAGGTTGGAATACTTCACGACACTGGTTTTTAGTGGATTAATACAAGACGTTGAGCTTTGAATAGTTTCTCTTCCTCTGATTGTTTCATCCAATGGAATGGAAACAGAATCTTTGTCTATGCCGTTGACGGAATTCATAGAGGCAGCATTCCGAAGCTAAAAAAAATGTACTTGTCATTGATAATTCTTGGTGCAAAACAATTTTCAGCACGTGAGGGCTTACCATCATCATCTTCCTTTTGTGTCGCTTTGCGGAATAAAGTACCCACGCAGTGTAAAGGAGCATGATTAACACCGGCACTATAACTCCGGCTACAACGGCAGTTCTTCGAAGCCACGCATGGTATAGACCGAGGAATATAAGAAATAATGCAACGCAAACTGCTATTATCCTTCCATTAGCTTTTCTCTCTTCCTGTAATGAAATGATAGAAAACAAATTATTATTTTTATTAACTATTATTGTTATATTATTATATATAGTATAGTACGTCCAGACTACAGAGTTATAACCACAAACGAAGCGACAGACGACTAACTGGCGAAGAAATCAATTAAAATAATAAGGTTCGCTGTAATAGAATTTCTTTAGCTTGTGCCATCAGCCACCAGATTGGCTAGAATTTTTGTTTTGATTTGAACCACAAACGAAGTGACAGACGGAGCGGCTCGAAAACTTTGGTGACTAACCTGCTATTACAATTTTTCAGTGTACCACATGGCAACACCACTACTACTGGATTGTACCACATGGCAACACTACCATAGAGGTAACTCTAAGACCACTGGGTCCCGAAGAAAATCATTATTATTTTTGGCTCACTCAGTACCAGAACAACGGTCCCAAGCAGTCCCAAGCTATTTCACTCACCCCTGCATGTTCTGCATGAATCCACACACCCCTGATGTTATCTGTCAAACTTTCATAGCGAATCAAAACAAACATAGTGTAGTAATAGAATTTCAACTAGAATAGGGTACGTTAATCGTTTGCTTGGGACCAATAGGCTACTAAAGTGGTGAGCCAATTTAAAATCGTTAGTTTCGTATTGATTGTTGGTAGTAGTGTTGCCATGTGGTACAATCCAGTAGTAATGGTGTTGCCATGTGGTACACTGAAAAATTGTAATAGCAGGTTAGTCACCAAAGTTTTCGAGCCGCTCCGTCTGTCACTTCGTTTGTGGTACAACCATAGAGGTAACTCTAAGACCACTGGGTCCCGAAGAAAATCATTATTATTTTTGGCTCACTCAGTACCAGAACAACGGTCCCAAGCAGTCCCAAGCTATTTCACTCACCCCTGCATGTTCTGCATGAATCCACACACCCCTGATGTTATCTGTCAAACTTTCATAGCGAATCAAAACAAACATAGTGTAGTAATAGAATTTCAACTAGAATAGGGTACGTCAATCGTTTGCTTGGGACCAATAGGCTACTAAAGTGGTGAGCCAATTTAAAATCGTTAGTTTCGTATTGATTGTTGGTACAACCATAGAGGTAACTCTAAGACCAGAAGGTCCCGAAATAACATGCTCAACTTTTTGGCTCAGCTCTGGTACTATCTTCGGTCCCAAGCTAGTCGAATCACCCCTCGAAACATAGGAAAACCCAATAACCCCTCATTTTATCTGTCAAACTTTCATAGCGAATCAAAACAAACATTG